TATCTTATGCCAATGTCAAGGCTGTATTTATTTGATCAAAAATAAAGTAAAACAGTAATATTGTTAAGTATTATTACAATTAAAAATAATGATTTCTATTTTAAAATACTTTAAAATATAATTTATTCCTGTGATGGCAAAGCTGAATTTTTTTAGCATCATTACTCCAGTCTTCAGTGTCACATGATCCTTCAGAAATCATTCTAATATGCCGATTTGGTGCTTATGAACATTTTTATTATTATATCAATGTTTTTTATGTATTATTATATCAACCAAACTTTTGAACAGTAGTGTGTATAATTTTATACACACATTTTATATACATTTTAATCATATTCACTACAGCAGTTGTGGATTTCCAAACCTAACGGTCTGAGTACAGTTAGATTGCACATCGTTGCAGTGTTATGATTGAGCTCATCTTTACTAGTCATTACATGCTTGTGAATGGCTTGATTTGTCATACTTGGATGGTAGCACATCTAGCACATTATATTGTTTGACATATTGTTCTCATCTCTAGTGTTTATCAGCTTTAATTTTCCTCCCCATAGGTGAAGCTTTTATACCTTATTACACGGGGCAAGCGATAGATGGCATAGTTATCCAGAAAAGCATGGATCATTTTGCGAAACCATTGATTAATCTCACTGTTTTGGCTTTGGTCAGGTGAGCAGTTCAATTAATATTTTTTATACACAGTAGTGCTATTTATCACTATTTTATTTTTATTTATTTATTTATTTTGTAGCTCCATAGGCACTGGGTTTCGTGGAGGTGTCTTTTCCGTTACGTTTGCCAGGTTAAACATTCGACTTCGGAACCTTCTCTTTAGATCACTAATGCATCAGGAGATTGGGTTCTTTGATGCCAACCATACAGGTAATGTTATGGCTCCAATTATAGCCTTAATCAAACGTAGTTATTTTGTTCCTTATATTTGTAAATATGTAGGCCTATCATTTCCCAAGAAATGACAAAAGAAAGGCAACACAGCACTTTCTAGATATTCTTCAAACAGACTCCACCCATTTTGTTTTGTAGATAGTTTCATCATTATATTTACAATCTAATTTTATTTTTGCCCGTTTTATTTAAAAAAAAAAAAGCAATTTAAGATTCAAGTCTGAAAATCTCTCTTTGACCTCATTGATAGAATGGTCAGCATTCTACGGAGCCCCGCACATGACATGCAAGAAAAAAAAAAAATCGTGCGCACGATTTACTAATTCATTCCATCGATGTAGCCTACTAAAACGTGCACACGATTACTATTTCGTTCCCTCGATTTGCTAAATCGTGCGCACAATTTACTTATTTGTTCTCTCGATTTAGAGTGTGCACGATTTAGCAAATCGAGGGAACGAATTAGACGTAGTTATTTTGTTCCTTATATTTGTAAATATGTAGGCCTATCATTTCCCAAGAAATGACAAAAGAAAGGCAACACAGCACTTTCTAGATATTCTTCAAACAGACTCCACCCATTTTGTTTTGTAGATAGTTTCATCATTATATTTACAATCTAATTTTATTTTTGCCCGTTTTATTTAAAAAAAAAAAAGCAATTTAAGATTCAAGTCTGAAAATCTCTCTTTGACCTCATTGATAGAATGGTCAGCATTCTACGGAGCCCCGCACATGACATGCAAGAAAAAAAAAAAATCGTGCGCACGATTTACTAATTCATTCCATCGATGTAGCCTACTAAAACGTGCACACGATTACTATTTCGTTCCCTCGATTTGCTAAATCGTGCACACTCTAAATCGAGAGAATCTCTCGATTTAGAGTGTGCACGATTTAGCAAATCGAGGGAACGAATTAGTAAATCGTGCACACGATTTAGCCTACTATTTTTTTCCTGCATGCCATGTGCGGGGCTCCGTAGCATTCAAAATGTAATAAACAGCAACTATATCACCATTATATTTGCATACAGAATTTTGGTTGGTTTTATTTTATACATCTATTTGCATAGGCCTACTGAATTGTGATTGACCTTGTCTTCTTTGCTATTTTTTTTATTGTGTTGATTCTTGTGCACAGCCAATACAAAAAGAAAAAAAGAGTGTCTTTAAAGCACTGAGTGTCATGATGCAGCATTTTATTTAGAGAGAAACTAAAGCCTAAAACCTAATACTTTAATACTATTATTTTGCTGCCTTCAGGAAGTTCGAATCAAGTTTTGTTTTTAACATTACTGTTTCAAAGACTTCTCTGGACCGGTGGAAGTACAGAAGACATAAATGATTCAGCTCTCAATGGTTTGCCTTACAGGTGACATTACCTCTAGACTTACCTCAGACACTACTCAGGTGAGCGACCTCATCTCACAAAATGTCAACCTGTTCCTGCGCAGCTTTGTGAAAGCTGTGGGCATCTTCATATTCATGTTTGGCATGTCATGGAAGCTGTCTGTAGTCACCATTATGGGTTTCCCATATATAGCCGTGGTCTCCAAGCTGTATGGAGAGTATTACAAGGCAAGTTATGCATATGCAAATATATTGCTTGGAAAAAAAGAAAACAAAAAAACAATAGCAAGTGGTGCATTGTAGTTTATAGCAGCATATAATCTAAATTGTTTTATATTTCACATTATAATAGCATTTTAATGCACTGATACAAAAGATGTATGCATACAAATATATTAACATTCCACATTTTTGATGTTTAACAGAAATTAACCAAAGAAGTTCAGACTGCACTGGCTCAGGCCAATAAAGTGGCAGAGGAAACAATATCAGCCATGAGAACAGTGCGAAGTTTCGCTAATGAGGATCAGGAAGGAGACTCGTACTACAGCAGACTTCAGGAGATGTTCATTCTTAATAAGAAGCAAGCAGTTGCCTATGCCTGCTTCATGTGGTCCAGCTATGTAGGTATCTTGAAAGCTTTATGAAGCCTTTAATATTTGTACACCCAATTCTCAGTTATAGAATCAAATTTTTCTTTCCAGTATCATAATTACATTTCTCTTTTGGGGCATTTGAAACATCTTATAGATCCCCCCCCCCCCCAAAA